TTGAAACCACCAGTCGTCTATCTTAGAGATGCCTTAACTTGCTTGCCAAATGAGGTCCAACTTGCTTCTGAAAGGGCACCTAAAGTTGAGCCTGCTCTAAGCTGACCTCTCCGTGCAGAATGTTTAAAACTCACCCAAACACTTTAGACTGCAAATACAGGAAGCCCATCAGCAGCAATCCTACAGCTTGCTGTACCTAACTTCCAGCCCTTCTGTACCCCGGTTCATATATCTAATGCTTGTAATTGGAGCCAAGCTCAGAAGTAGTGGCAAATGGTGCAAAGGCAGATGCTTAGAAGGGTTCTGCTCAGGAAACAGAAAATTTCTTCTTCCGTAAGTGAAGACCTAGGAATTTCTATGGTCGCTGTTTTGTCTTTTCCCTTGTATATTGTATGCCATGGCAAGGTAATGAGAGAGCAGGGTTTGTTCATGTTGCTCAGGCTAGTTGCTACCCTTAGAACTTACTCCACCTGGGATAAAGACATAGGTTAAGCAAAGTTTGGGGGAGGAAGGGGCAAACCCAGATGCTTTCAGGAACTTTTGGTCTGAACTTGAGTTCCAGTCCCTGATGTGTGGTCACTTTCTCCTGCGCAGGCATTGGGTGGTGGTTACCTCCATTGGGGTCACTTTGAAATGATGCGCCTGACAGTCAACCGTTTTCTGGATCCCAAGACCATGTTTGCTCTGTGGCGTGTCCCAGCCCCTTACAAACCCATCACCCGCAAAAGCCAAGGACATCGCATGGGAGGTGGCAAAGGTAACGTGAATCTTTATGTGACAGCAGTGAAGACTGGCCGTCTCATTTTGGAAGTGGGCGGGCACTGTGAATTTGAGGAGGTGAAACACTTCCTTATACAAGTAGCCCGTAAGTTACCCTTCCCAGCTGAGGCAGTCTCCTGCCAGTCCCTGAAAGAGAAGCACCAGATGGAAGAGGAGAGAGCACGCAACAACCAAAACCCATGGACTTTTGAGCGCATTGCTACTGCCAACATGATGGGAATCCGCAAGTATCTGAGCCCATATGATCTGAAATTTAAGGGGCAGTACTGGGGCAAATTCTATCTGAAAGACAGGATTTAATGACCAACCTTGGGTGAAGTTTTGGAGCCCTCCCTCACATGCATAGTTTTCCCCAAGCAACCAAAAGAGGTCCCAGTCCTCTTTTATCTGTGAAACCAAACATGGTTATACCCATGTGGGGTGTTGGGTCTTCCGAGCAACACTGTAGTAACCTATCCTTGCTCCGAAGGTGGAGGAGTTGTACGTGGTAGAGCTGGGGGCATGATGGGGGCTGCAGTAGCTGATGATTATTTTGGATTAAAAAAATCTTTCCTACAGAGGCAAAGACTTCCCCTATGCTTCAGTGTCCTGTTTGATTTGGAGGGTTAGGGACCCTGCATGGGATGAGGCATTAGGGTCTGAATTGCTACATGGTAGATCTTTCTGAACAAGGAGATGCAGGTTGAAGATCCCACTACTCAATCCCCACCCAAAAACAGTTCCCCTTCCCCCTGACACCCTGGCCCACATTAAATGCACCAAAATAATGGTCACTTAATTGAACTCTTTATTCAGAAAGAAGATTCCTGTGTAGATGACTGTGCCTTTTGCACAATAACTACACAGGTACATTATTTAATAGAAATTCTGGGCAGGAGGAAGGGGGCTCTCCTTCAGTACCAAGTGAGGCAAAGGATCCATCCCATGTGAGACCATATCTTATGTTACCTCTCCGTAACTGAGGTGGGGTCCTTGTACGTCATGGAGGCTGCCTACCCTCTGAAGAGCCTCTGCCTAGCAATTGGCTCATGTCCAAGAAATGCTAGGGGCATAGGTAGGAGAATAGGGAAGGACAACCTTGGAGCTTCCCCTGTTCAGGCAGAAGGGGGAAGATGATCCAAAGTAACAGAATCAGCTGGACTTTCAGATTGTTTATTTCTTGCTGCAGATGAGAAGAGAAGCATAAATAGGCTTGAGGTTGATATGCTCTGATTTTATAAGAGGAATTTTCTGGGCCTGGCAGGTCTGGCAAACACTTCTTCCCAGTTAACAGGAGAATTGGCCTCTTTTTGAGCCTACAGGATCATAGCTGCATGGTAGAGAGGGGATGTGGTGTGCTCCAAGCATTAGAAGTTAAGGCTAAGCAAACATTTCTACCAACGCTAACATGAATAGATTGGGAAGGAACTAAAACTGCAAAAACAAAGATCTTGAGAGAGAGAGAGAGAATGTAGTTCATTAGGGAGTGATCTATAAGTTCAGTGCATTGTGCCATGGTTATATTGTACATTTGAGAGGCTGGCACAACTACAATACACAACATTTTGCCCCTACTGTCATGGACACCAAAAAGAACAACAATTTTCCTGAGCTTTGTAGACAATGGTACAGGCTATGAGATACTGTGCCAGGCAAGATTCTTTGAGTATACGCATGCCTTCAAATGGAATTCCTCTGCTGCGTTTTGTTATGCCTCCATCCACCTCTGGCAGTCTAGCAAGAGCTGCTCTGAAAAGGGAATATTTGGCAGGCAAGAGCTAGAGATTGTGGCCATAGCTTCTCCACAGATAGGAGGTGGAGGAGCTGGTAGGAAATCCAGAAGAGTGCTGGTGTGGTAACTTCAGGGGAGGGAGAATGGAAGAATGGTAAAAGGCCAGCTGCAAGTCCATCTGGAAGAAATCAGAAAAAGCAAAAGACACCAAAAGGAGAAAGGAAAACAGATGAAGTCATGGGTTCCTGAAGTCCTACACACCAGGCTGTCCCTTGCATTGTCACTAAGCTATTGTCCTTCATTCTCGATGTCACTGTCCCTTAACACTCTATGGGGTGAGCAGAGCTGTTCCTACAATGCATCTCCTGTCCATTCCCTTCATGGTATGGCTCCCACCCCTGCTGCGTGATCTAGCTCAGCATCCCACAGCAGCTCCTGATCAGTTGTGGCATTTCAGAACTACTCCTGACATTGGATCATAAAACCATAGAGAAGTGGGGTTGGAAGTGACCTCCAGAGGTCATCTAATTCAACCCTCTGTCTGAGGCAGGATCATCCCTATCCAAACCATCCCATGCATCCATAACCTAAACTTGACATAAGAGTATTGTCAGCCCTGACAGAACGTAGACCTAACACCCTCATCTGCCACATGTAAAGCAGCAGAACTGTAGCAGCCAACATCCTGCTTCTGTGAAAAATTGTCAATATACACTCTCAAGATCCTAGGTAGAGGCCATGCCCTCCCTGCTACAGAGGAAGTCAGCCTCCCCCTCCCCAGTCTATACCAATCTGACCATGGGGTAAAGCTTCCTTCCTGACCTCAAATATGGTGACTGATCTGACCCTGAGTGGAGGGGCAAGACTATCTAGCCAGGAAACTGGGTTTGGTCCCAGAAGGAACATTAGAACACCTTAGTTAAGGTCTCTAGTCTTGGCTGTAGCCACCACCCAGTGTCTCTGAGGGAGGTTTAAAAATGTATAACACATAGTAGAAAGGAAGTGTGGGGGCAACCAACAGCCCAGAAGCTTGGAAAATATCCATAGTAGAACATAAGCACAGCTATGCCTGCAGCAGGAGTCAGCAACGTCTTTGGGTCAGAGCATTAAAAACACCTCAATCTTGACTTGTGTTGGCATGCCAGGGTGGATGGCGAGAGTCATAAGGGGCCTGATCCTTATGGCAGCACAGCCCCTGCCCTTTCTCCACCCGAGGTATGCATGCAGCTGCTGCCAGCAATGAACTGACCTTGTAGTTACAAGCAGCTTAAGATCTGGGAAGGCCCCTGCTACCCACCACAGAGCCTGGGCTGCTTGCAGTAGGTAGCTGTAAGCCTACAAGCAGCTGCACTGGGGTCTGGAGCCCCAGCCCTGCTTGTTGCTGGCAGTGACTGCTTACACACCTCGAGGGGCATAGTGGGAAAGGAGCTGGGGTACAGGGCATGGGAGGGGGGGAGGAGGTGGCCCCTTCCTTGCTCAGGCTGCCACACATGCAGCCCAGACCCCACTGGAACCCCCCGGATTATGATGGGGACAAGGACCATGGCAGAGGTGTATGCTACCTGACAGCAGCAGCCCAGCTCAGTGCAGTGGGAGTGGGTACTGGGGCTGGCAGGGTAGCTGGCTGGGCTTAGTGGCTGGCTGCAGGTCCTGCCCAGAGCCAGGGCTGGCTGTGGTGTGCCAAGCAAAATGACTTCATATGCCATGCTCTAGCACATGTGCTGGGGGTCACCAACCCCTGGCTTAGATCATCCCCAGCCAGTGGCTTTCCAGCTTCTTCTTGAACACTTCCAGCAATGGAGACTAGTCCACAATTTCCCTAGGCAGTCTATTGCACTGCTTCACTGTTCTAACAGTGAAGAAGTTTTTTCCAGATAGCCAATCTAAACCTATTTTGCTGCAACTTTAAGTCATTGGCCCTCATCCTCCTCTCAGCAGCAGGAGAAAAAAGGTGCGCTCTCTATGGCAGCCCTTCAAGTACTTGAAGACTGCTTTCATGTCTCCTCTTAAACCCTTTTCTGCAAGCTGAACATTCCTTGTTGTGTCAGCCTCTTCTCGTATTACTTGCTTTCCAAACCCTTTATCATCTTTGTTACCCAACTCTGGACCCTCTCTAACTTTTCCGTGTCTTTGTTAAAAATGCAGAGCCCAGAACTGCACCTACTGCTGTACTCCAGATGATGCCTAACCATTGCTGAGTACAGAGACAGCACTCTTGAAGCAGCTAGAAACTGCAGATTAAAAACCACTCCAACCCCACCCAAAGTGGGGGCATAGCCACAGCAAAGGATGTGTAACAATGTAAGCACTGACCAAAGCATATTCCTAGCACAGGCAGGAAGATAGTCTTGCTTCACAATGGCGCTAGGGCTCACCTGTGGCAGGTAGGGGGCAGAGAGCGGACGCTCAAGCAAAGATGCCTCCAATGGTGGATGCCAGAATGATGGCAAGGATGATACAACAAACCATGATCATGATCTTCTTCTGCTCAGAGAGAAAAAGCAATAATACCAGGAACTTTGCAGCCACATAAAAAGGGAGACAGGAGAAGAGGAGAGGGAAGGGACATTCTACCTCTGTCTTTCAGGGGGATAAGAGGAATCTGTAACCTTGAGTTGGAAGAGGGGAAACGGAGGCAGGAAGGAAATCTGTGGGCAGAGTGGCAGGGAGGGAATCAGACTGTTCTTTCACAGAGGCAGGAAATAGTTAGTGTCTACAGCCCTTACAGAAAACAGCTTGAAGAGCTTCCTGCAATCCTAACTTACATGCCAGGCTGGGGTAGCAAGGTGTATACATGCATGCACAGCTACAACAGTTATGGGAACCAGATAAGTAGCTAGAGACATGGATAGGGGCTAGCCCACCCAACCCAAAGGAAATAACACTTCATGCCAAGGCATGTTATCTTACCCAAAAGACAGGCTGCTGCACAGCAGCAGAGGAGAAAAATCTGTCCAAGTCTTCCGGTGCAGATCAGCTTAGTGGGAGAGGGTCTGCTTGCCATTGAGAGGAAAGGCCCACACAGAGACCTCAAGCAGCAGGCCAAACTGCCTGGGTTGGGTCCATTCAACTCTTTCACTTACCAATACTCCTTAGTGCAGCCAGTCAGATCAGAGACAAGATCTTGTCCCCAACCCAAAACCTAGCCACCACTGCAACTCTGGGAAAAAAAGCTGATCTAAGTATCTCAATGAGTCACACCAAAGCAGTTCTCAGCCCAGTTCAGTTACGGAGGCTCAAAGCTTCACACTCCTCCCTGAGATGACACTATCGTCTCCCCACGCTGCAGTGTCACTAACTGTGCAGCAGGCAGGCTCACTGCCTCTCCTCATCTTGTGTTATTCAGTCTCAACTCTTACCATCACTTAAACAACTGGAAGGAAAGGTTTCAAAAGCAACAGATCTCGGCATCTTGAGCTAAAACCAGTGTCAGCTTAAGATGACCATAAATTGGTATGCATCACATGAAAATGCTAGGATTTGCATGTTTTCCAGATTAGAACATGGATAGGTGAAATTTGCTAGCACTACTTCTATTAACGTGGAAACCACAAGAACCACAGGATTCATTTATGACCAGTGGCCCCAATAATACCCTCTACATAGAAGACAGTTTGGTATAGATGTAAGAGTGCTGGACTGGGACTGAAAGATGAGGGTCCCTTTCCCCATTCCAATACTAGATTTCTGTGAGCGAATTGCTTTGCTTCTTAAGTGCCTCAGTTTCCCCATCTGTAAAATGGAGACAATTATAAGACCCTCACTTGAGATCCACTGAGGCAAAGTGCTAAATAGTCGCTTGGGTATTGTCTACATTCATTATTATTGGCCCTCGTCTCTTTTTTTACTAGAAGGGATGCAACCCAAACACAGGTGAAGAATCATGAAAAGAGATGACTGGAAGGGACCTCTGGTGATTATCTATTCCAACCCCCAATCAAGGCAGGATCATCCCTATCCAAACCATCCCATACAAGCCCCTGCCTAACATATTCCTAAAACTATGCAATCAACTGTCACAATTACAAGGCATATTGCCCAAATAACCAAAACCACTCTAACCTGCCCCAGGTAAAGCAGGGGGATAAGGACTAACCACAATCCTACTTTTGCAAGGGTTGCTAAAGTGCACTTGAGATCATGTCCCCCACTACAAAAGAAGGCAAAACCCCACAGAGTTTGTTCCACGTGGTACAATTCCTTCCAGATCCCAAATGTGGCCATTGCTCTGACCCTGAGCAAAGGGGCACGATCATTTAGTCAAAACCTCCAGGTTTTAGTCCCAGCAGGAGCACTGGCACACCCTAATCAAAACTCTAACCCTTGGCTGCCAACACTGAAACAACAAACACCTGCATGAACAGGCTGAGGCTGGCCATAACTAGGAGTTGCTCTCAGGGAAATCCAGCGCACAGAGGAGAACATGACAGAAGCATGAGGCTTTCATGATCAAATATAAATTTATTTCTTTGCTTTTAATTAAAAACAAAGTTTCACTAAAAAAAAAAAACAAAGAAAGAAAAAGAACAAAATACAACAGCTGACAGCTTTGGTTTTTTGCAGTGACAAAACTCTTGCCATCTGCAGAGCTCTGGGGAGTTTCAGACCCTAGGCAGGATCTGCCTGCAGCAGCTGCTTCTCCCCAAGTCCAGCACCGAGCAAACCTGGCCACTACATAGTTGCAGACATCAAAACCCAGAGAAGAGGAAGGTGAACAGGAACCTGCTCACAGCTCCGTTTGCATGCTGGGGGAGAGTGGTCAAGTGCAGGTGTGCGTTGGAGGACCTTGCCTCATTCTGCAAGGGAAGAAGCTCTCTTTGGGAGTGAGGAGCAGGGGTTGGACCAGTAAATCTCACATACGTGTTATGGGCAACAAGGAGACACTGGATCTTCAGTAAGGATGATTACAAGGGTGGCATTTGTGATGGTGGAAGCTATGCAGCTGGACCAGCCAGACACTGCTACAGCATAGATTTGCCTCTTCCACAAAAGAGAAAACCTGCCCCGACTCATTACCCATCACCTGTCTTCAACAACGCAAGAAAACATTTATAGTGAACTCAGAGTGCAGCCCGGTGGGCCCTCATTTTATGAGTGGGCCTATCCCTGTGGTCTGCCTTGGGGAGAGCACCTCTTAAGGAAAGGAGGGAGCTGAATTTCCAAGGGTGATTCAGTCCTCAGCCTTGAAGAGGTCTCACTTTGTGCCACATATGTTAGTGTTTCAACAATATGGAAGTCTGCCCAGTGGAAACCAACTTAACACTCTGCAGCTCATTTCCCCACCAGGGCTACCAAACAACTGCAACAGCTGCAGGAACTGGTCACTCCCATCCCACCCAAACTCAAAAAATCACACCAGAGAAAGAGGCGGCTGCCACAACGTCAGGCACATGAGGGGACATCAGTTCTGGATGGCCTGGAAATAATAAATATATGCAAGGACCCCAATCCTGACAAATTTACAAAACCCATAAAAATATGATGAGTCCTGAGGAAAAAAAGGACATCAACCACACATGCAAAACCTTGCAAACTACATACTAGCAAGGGCAAGCAGCTATGAAAACACTCATTGCTCCCCCCAAATGAATGAGAACCGACCCCCGCCCAAAATGTTTCAGACAAGGTATATGCCAGGGATTTAGGTGGAGAGAAGCAACATCTCCAGTGTTTCAATTAGTTCCCCTCCTGCTACCACTCAGCCTGGACCCACAGACTCAGAGGCTGGGATTACTGTGAAGGGCTGAGATGCAAGATGTCTGTCTGCTCTTTGCTACTTTGAGTAAATATCTGGGTGGAAAACTCAGTGACAAAGCTTCACACTTCAGGCAAACAAAGGTGTCAATTCCTCCAAGTCACTGTTGTCAACAAACACTGATCACAAGAAACAGGTCTCTCTGGGTCCCTCCTTCAGTACACAGGTGCCTTCACCTTGGGAACTGATATATCAGAGAGAAGTGATCCAGGCCAGGGAAGTGCTCAGGTCTTACAGCACTGCCAGCATGTGCCACTGCCCCGCTACCTTGAGTTCCCAGCCCCATTGCTTGTTTCCCCAACCAGCGGGAACATGGGGATTGCCACCCTCATGTCCTGGCTCTGCTTCGGATCTGCGGTTAAACTGCTGTAGCCAGTAAGGCTGGCAGGAAGGCACTGACAATTCTGGCCCCTCTACCTATGGGGCAGGAGATCCATCGCCCCCCTTAACCCTGTTGCCAGCAACAGTGGGTAGCACAATGGAGTCTGGGGGTTGCTTTGCCACCTGCATTGTTGTACAAAAGATCCAAGGTCCCGGTTCAGTTGCTCATTCTCCTGGCAGGCACTGGGACCTCTGCAGCATCCAACCTCAAGCCCACAAGTCTATTGTCCACCAGTGTCCGTTTGAAACTCCTTCCCTGATCTCTCACCCTCTGACCTGACTGAGGCAGTTCTGAGGGGCAGATTTAGTTCTTGCATTGCCTGGTAAATAAAGATTTTAACTATCCACCTAAAAAAAAAAACCCAAACCCCTAAGAAATGTGAGATGGAGGCCAGCCAGTGAGGTAGGACAAGCAGTTCTGGAAATGCCTTGAAGGCTCCACTGTGATTGATGGGAATCCCATCAGGAAGTGGGAATTTGGCAAACAAAACGGACCTTAGAGGCTGGGGTTTGCAGTAGTGAAAACCTCTTGGGAGATGGAGAGGTAAGGCAGGGTTGGTAACAGCTTCTCATGAGCTCACTGACAGTATAGGAAACATGTCTACATCCTGGGCTGGATGAAGCAGGCCCAGATCCTCTATCAAGGGACCATCAGCTGGATGTTCACAGTGTAGCCATCACAGGAAATGCTGGTGCAAATTGGGGCATGGTTCAGGGTGGATCAGAGATGCCAGGTTGATTAACAGGTCTCAGGAAAGGCAGGGGGAGGACGAGGAGGTGGTAAGCACATGGGACACAACAGCGAGGAGGACCGTGAGGGGAAGACCTCACTACCAGCCCAGCAAGATGGTCAGGAGTGTCTGGAAAAAGGGGAGGAATAAGAGAAAAATTCATTCATAGCAAGGCAGTATTAACATTGGCTCATATATGTTTAGCACTGACACGCTGGGCCTGAAGACTCAAGATGGGCGAATTGCACCTCTGCAGATGGCCTGATAAACAGCACCACACAACCAACTGTTATCTAGTATTTCACAGAAACTTTTGAGAAACCACAGCCTCAGCAGTCAGTTAAGATAGAACACAAGTTTTTAGCTGTTCCGGTTGCACAAGAAAGCCTCAACAACACGGCCAGTGCCAAGGAGATGGAACCACATCTGTAGGGCAGTTGGAGCCATGGTTGTGGGACGCATTAAGTGCCCCAACTGTGGAGTAAATTAGACGTTGGCAGTGTTGGCCAGGTCACTGCTCATGGCAGAGGGAGGGTCATAGATTGGCACAGCCCATTTGAGTGCCACAAATGGGTAGTTTGCAGAAGATATCACATTCCCTCCTTCCCTGCCCCAGCTCATGAAGGAGCCATGTCCAGGAAACAGTAGAACCCAGGGGCATCTGTGTCAGCCCTGCCAAGGGGGACTGCAGTCCTGGTGACAGCTCCACAGCCAGATTTTAATCCTCTGCCCAGCTTAGTGTGAGTGGTCTCTGGGATCAATGACACCCAAAAGGTGGAGCTTATTTTGGAGGCAGAGCTTGGAAGAATCCCATTAAGGCTCTTCATTTCTCCACCCAGCCAGGTAGAGAGAAAAGCCAGAGAAAACATTTTGTGCACATAGAGTGGAGGGATGGGTGCATGGGGGCTGCCCACACTGTGTCTGCATAAGCCAGAGACCTTCAAGGGAAAAGCACAAGGGCCTGCTTTGCAGCAGTGTTGCAGCTGCTTCCACTTGTGCCACGTCCACATCTCCTCGTCGCCCTCCCCACAAGCAGTTCTGGAAATTTCAGAATTGAAGCCCACCACCCTATGAGCCAAGCTCCCTTTTACCAACATCTCCATCCCTTCATCTGCAAACACCTTCTCCTGCCCTGGCCCCAGGTTCCAGGGATTACAGTAAAAAACTGTAGTAGAAATGACTGTAGAAGTGGAAGTGACTGAACATAAACACAAAGGTCAGAAACCAGAGCGACGAATGCACAGCCCAAGTCTACAGAGACCCAAAGACAGCCAAGAAGCCAACACACAGAGCCCCAAAAACACAGACCGTAGGCACAAAACCCAAAGTCAGAAATAAGAATCTCCTGCCCTTCAGAAAACAAAGTCTAGGACCTAAAAATAGAACCCATAACTTAAAGCCCAAAGTCTAGAGCCAAAAGCTGGAACATCACTCAAAGCACAAACCCAAAACCACAGCCAAGAACCAAGAGCAACAAACTTAAGGTATAGCACCTAATGCCAGAACACAGAGCACAGGGTCGAGCACAGAGAATGTCAAGCCAGAATGCAAAGTCAGCTCCCAGCACCAAAAGACAGCTCAGGGCCCAGAAACCAAGGTCTATAACAGTGGTTCTCAACCTTTTTTGTACCAGGACCCCTCTGTTAACATTGATGGCTAGTCCTGACTCAGTGCTCCTCACTCTAGACCTGCTGTCCTGTTCCCCACCCTGCTCCAGGCCCCAGCCCCCTAGTGTGTAGCGTAGGTGGTGGGTATGTGGGGCAGGAGGCACTACAAGCAGCCCCTCTCAGGCTGGAACTCTGCCAGCCTGCAAAGGAAAGGCCACATTTTTCTCCTTTAAAGAAGAAACCATTTTTTAACATTTGTTGGTCCATTTTTTTAAAGTTTGTTTGCAACTCTTTCATATATTCTTGGGACCCACTTTTGGGTTGTGACCCACGGGTTGAGAAACACGGGTCTAGAAAACAAAACATGAATACTGTAGCATAGAGCCAGCACCTAGAACCCAGAACACGGTGTCCAAAGGCTGGAACTCAGAGACAGAAAAAAGAATCCAAATCATGAAAACCACTGAGCCAGAAGCTGAGAGGTTCAGAAATCTCCAGAGCAGCCAGGCAGCAAAGAGAGGCCACAAGAAGTACAATTAGCTCCACCCTGACAGCTCAGCTCCTGAGCTGGCTCCCAAGGAGATTCCACCCCCTCTCCGTGTATTCTTCCACACTCTACTTACGGTTTAGAGCCAGCAGCCCTAGGGGGCTATTTTTTGTTTAGCCCTACGGCAAGTCCAATAATGAGAGCTACTATTCCGAGCAAGACGACCACTATCACAATGATAATGACCATTTTCTAGAGGAGGGGACAAAAGAAAAAAGGAGAAGGAATCATGAGCAATGAAGGAGAGGCACTCTGCACAGTGGCATTGGGTACCATTGCTTGTGACCCTGCAAGGGGCAGTTCTTTAGGAGCACACAAAAAACTCATCCATTTCTTTAAGACAGCCAAGATGTTTTTGCCGTCCTCAAAAATACTCACAAGTCAGATCTCTTCACAACAGATATCAAACCATCTGCATGTCTCTAATGCTAAGTATTGTTCCCACCTCAAATATACCCATTTATTCCCAGCTGTCTCCAGCAGGATACATTACAGAAAACGGCAGAGGAAGCCTCTGAGTTCACTGATCCTTTGTTTTTAGACTCCACCCATAAGGGGCACTGTTGGGAACAATGCAGGAGTGCCGTGTGGTCCAAATCCTAAACTATTCCAGACCCAGCCTCTCCCAGCAGGCAATGTTGTGGGAAACAAGGCAAGAGCATTGGCTGGGGTAGCTCCTATCTACTCCAGCCCCAACCTTTCCCAGCAGGAGGTGCTGTGGGAACCAGGGGCTGAGCTGCTGTCTGTAGTGGGAGCTTCCAGCTGCTCCAGTCCCAGAAGGAGTCATGTAGGGATCACGGCAAAAGTGCTGACTAAAGTCAAGCTCAAATAACCCCAGCACCGACCTTTCCCAGCTGCAGTGAACTGTGCAGAGGTGCCAGTTGGGGGAGATGTTCCTAGCCTTTCCCTGCTGGAGGCACTTTAGGGAATGGCAAAGGTGCCCTGGGGATGGAGGCAGCCCACAGCTACAGCACAGCCCAAACAACACATTTCTTAGGAGTTAACAGAAGGAAGGGCCATGGAAGAGTGCAGAGGTAGAGAAGGGAAGCAGAGAGATGCCCCAAGCAGCTGTTAGATGGGGGAGGAAGTCTGTGAAAGAAGAGCAAAAAAGAGAGGAGGAGCAAGAGGGGCACAGAGTGGGTAAGTGCTACTGAGAAGAAACAGGGTTGTGAGAGCTGCCCCAGGGTGGCCTGAATTTTAATCAACCAGTGACATTGGCCCTTTCCCAACAGGAAGTGGGCTAGGAATGGATATACCATTGCATTCTGAGGATGTAATGGTGGATGAGGACTGGAAAGGGTTGAAAAAGATGGGATGGGAAACAAGGAAGGCTGGACAGGACTGGGCATGGGTTAGTGGTCTGGTTAAGATTCGGCGGGGATCAGAAGGGTGAGACGGGGGCCTTAGTTGCCAGGGCAGGGCTAGTATTGACTGGCTGTTCTCACCCTTCTGGCTTCACTCTGATATTTCACAGCCTTTTTGGTGTCGGCAACAGCCCGTTCCACGAAGCCCACAGACTGGTCCATGTTGTTCTCTATACGGTCAATCATGGCTCCCTTGCAGAGGAAAACAGAGATGGCGAGAGCAGGAGAGTGCAGCAGAATAAAGCAGAGGAGAACGAGAGAGAGAGAGAGAGAGAGAGAGAGAAAGAAACAGCAAAGGGGCCTCTGGGTGAGATCAGGACAGGTGGCATCTGCAGAACTCACCTTGCGCGCCTGGTTCTTGTATTTCAGAGCCTTTTTGGTTTCCTCACGTGCTTTCTCTATATGGTCTACTGTGTGCATCATGTTCAGCTCTATGTTATCTACAATCTCGCCCTGTGGGGGGGGACAGAGAGAGAGAGATACACACTCACGTCAAGGAATTGGAGATATCTAAATGTCCAATGACCAGAAAGGGAGGTTCTCTTAGCCACATACACTCAGGCACAGTTGCAGCCACTCATTCATTCCCTGACATGATTTTTCATCATGCATATAGAACTCCCACAAGAGCCCAGCCCTACCCTGGTGAGGGGGAGGAGGAGGAGGAGGCATACCCTCTGACCCTGCCATCCCACCCTTCCCATCTCCTGAGGAGAGAGGGGAGATTGGTCTTCAAGGACATTCCTCAACTGGCGAGGCTCTGGGATCACTCCACTGGTCCTCCCTTGGTCTAAGTAGAGGAAAGGGGCATACTCACCATTACCCGACACACACACCATCTCCTCGGCAGTGCATTGTGGGTAAAAATAGAAAAGGAGCCTTAGAGAGGGACAGGAAGGCCTCAAGCGTATGAAAGGATGTACTGAGGCTCTCCCACCTCAGGGCAATTGTAAGCCATTGGGGGAGTGAGACAGTGGGCAATGCTCATGAAAACAAACTAAGAACACCTGGCCCAGACAGCAGACTCTTGTTTCCAATGCTTTCTAGGGTCTCCAGGGTGCCTGGTGCCACTCACTGAGAATGGAAGGAGAGGCCGCTGGACCATCACTTGTAATCAGGACCTCAAACACTTTGTACCTGACTTTGAGGTCCATGCTGCCATGAAAATAAGCTCATTGGTTACTGGGATGTTACACTGCTTGGTTACTTAGTAGCCTGGTTGCTTGATGTCCGTGTCCCCTTTCATCCACACTCAGCATGACTTGGTACCATGATTTCTACCCTACCCCATTCAGTTTGATTGTAACCCACTATCGCCCCTTCTTAATTTACACGGCTGTCACACTGTCTTCTTACACAGTTACCTGGGCCCATCCCATGACTTTCCCCTACTGTTGTGACATGGTTGTCACTCTTCCACGGTCTCTCGGTTACCCTTGGTGCTAGACCACATTTCACCCTTTTACTATCATTCAGTCCTTATCTCTCTGAGCCTGCCCGCCTGGTTGCTTCACCATAGAACTGCCTCCAGCTCAGCAGTTCTCTGTGGTGATCTGGTTACCTGGTTTTCCACCAGCATGGCAATGTCCACAAACATGTCATGCAGCTCCTTGATGCTGCTCTCGAGTCGCACAATGTCTTTGTGCCGCCCCTCAATCTCACTCAGTGCCTGCTTGGAGATCTGTGAATCCATGATCTGGAACAAAGCCGAGACAGCCTCAGTTACCGCAAAGGGTGAAGGTGGAGTCCTTGATACCAGAGCAGTTTCAACTAATACCCAGCCACTTCCCCTGTGGAGGAACACAATCAATCCCCTGCTGATACCTCCTCACCACACCCCAGTGCTCCTCACCCAGTCCCCAGCCTCCCCCTGCTCCGATATTCCATCCCCCCCATAACTGCTTTAAGATCTACACAATAAGTATTAACTAATATTAATATATACATCCTCTCCATGTGCCCTTCAAATCCTCACTGTACACAGTTGTCCTCTTCATCCCAGATGTAGCTCCTATGTCTAGGGGTAGGGTCTAATACACACACTCACCCCAGAGGTGAAAATGGATGGGTTTCCACTCTCTAGCATTTCCTCCAGCTCCTCATCTGTTGTGTTCTTCCCAGCTGCATCATGGTAAAAAGAGAGATGGGCATGAAGAGGAGAGACCAGATCACCTTCCCTGGGCATGGGTCATAGGCTAGTATGTGAATGTTGGGTCCAAGCAGCGATAACAGACATTGCTGCTGGACCTGTAAAACATCCCTGACCTTCAAGGTGATAAATACTTTCCATACTGTTGGGTGATAGGGAGAAATCCTGCATATGCTGGGTCCCACCCCACCAGCAGGGGCTACCATGACACCAAAAGGAAGGCTAAGAGACCAGCCCCCTCCAGCAACCAGCACTATGACATTGGAGGGAGGGGGGTGTCAATTGTACTGCCCACTCTCTCCTCCCCAACAGGGGTGCTGTGACTCTAGGGGATCACAGGGTGGGCAATGGCCCTTGCAATGGACCAGACATGCTGGCTAGATTGTGGTTGATTCCTTGGGGAGATCTCAGCCTTGCCAGCAACAAACCCAAGCGCATTGGAGAGCAGGAGTATCTGGCGTGTCACTGGGGGAGACTGGTGGGAAAGGAACAGGGACAAGGACAACTGTCAGTCATGCTCCAGAGCGCAAAAGGTAACATACTGATCTCGAGCTGCCGCTGGATCCGCCCTTTGCTTCGCTCCCGGAAGTCGACCTGCGCCTCATTATACTTGGTCATCACATCCACGAACTTCCGGGAGAGGACAGAATGCTGGAGGGACAAGCGGTGCAGTGAGAGACCCCAGGGTTTGCCGTTTAATCTGCATCACAGCTAGCTGCTGGCACAGTGCGTACACACCAGCTCATGTATTGCCCAGCCAGCTGGGGCACCCATCTGAGCAGAAGACAACTCAATTGCTCCCCATGCATTCCCTCCTCTTTACCTAGTACCATCCTATCCCCTTGGACTGCCTCAGAAACAGCCCATCCATTTCTGGCATTACTCTCCAGGCCCAGATACATCCTGACTGGGTCTGTCACTGATTCCCACTTGGGGAAGTCACCTTGACAGTCTATGCCTCAGTTTCCCCAGTGGTATGAAGGAGATATAAAATGGCACTCCCTTTCATTTCATTGTGTTCTTCCATAGAATATATGAGGCATGGAGGAACCCCTGAACTGGACCCCTGGCAGCCCACCAGGAGGAAAGCCTCCTTCTTCACACTGAGTCCCTAGCTCCAGTGGGAGCCAGGACAAATCCTTTAGAATAGAGGTGTCAAAGATATGACTTGTGGGCCAGATCTGGCCCATGAAGCCATGTCATCTGCCCCCCAGTGCTACCTGCAGATCTCAGAGTGACCCACAGGAAGCTTACAGAGTAGGCCAGATAGCCCCACACACCACACATAATACCCATTTCAGCTTGTGTTCCAGGGTAGTGGAGTGGTTGCCACATGAAGCACAACTCTGGAGTGGATCCAAGGCTCCAGAGCCATGCAACACAGCCTGGCAGTGGCAGTAGCAACAGCTCCAGATCATGCTGCACAGCCCTGGGACAGCCAGAGCAAGACCCGGCCATACTTGGCCACCCTCTCCAGCCACTCCAGGACACGTGCCAGATCCAGAATGCAGGGCCAGTCTGTAGGTCTGGTCCATCCCACAGACTGGCCCTGCACCACTCACTTGGCCCCACGGGGCTGGATGAGTTTGACATCTCTGCTTTAGAACAACATCTAGGCTATGACTTGAAGATTTCCAGCCATGAAGAATCAACCCCAAAGGTTAATCACTATCCCCATAAACCACATCCGCATCCTTTCTAGTCTCATCTTGCCTAGTTTCCTTGTCCAGTCCCTGTGCCCTGTTTCTACCTCTGCCTGCTAGGCAGAAGAGGTTCTTGAGGAAGCCAGCAGTGCTTGCACCTCATCGTATCATCACCCTTGTTCTACTCAATCTGTTCCACAGAATGCGCAATCTCCCCACACAGGACAATGCTGAGGGCTGGATATTACCCTTATCCTCTTTCCCAGCACGGCCCCATAATGGAACAGTCTGTTGCCACCTCTGGGGCTCCACCAGCCTGAGGGCTAAAAGCAGGGACTGCGGCTTGATCCAGAGACATAACATGCATGAAGGAAGTGGGGAGGGAAGGGGAGCCCTGCTCACCTGAGACTTCCGTATCCTCAGGTCTGCTGATGACCGGGCTTCATCCTGCTCGATGTTCCGCTCCATACCTGGCAACACAGGAGGGGAGAGAGGAGTGAAATTACAAGACAGGCTTGGGTTGGCTGCACAGCTTGGCCCCTTCCCCAGCCCTAGTCATCTCATTCTCCAGCTCTGCGATCCCTTGTTGAAAAGGGATCATTTCCTTTCTGTTCCCACCCTGTCATAGCTAATACAGAGGATACCATCCTCTGAACTCATCCCCATCCCAGTCTGACCTGTTGTTAGCACTGGGTGTCCAGGAGCCACCAGAGGTAAGCTACACCCAGTGCCATCTGCTGCTCCATCCCCCAGAGCATTGGCTGAACAACAGAAGCAGGTTGAAGAGCCAGCTCCAGCCTCAGCTAACAGAGGAGTTCTTAGCTCATCCAGTAGAGGCTCATGCCTTAAATGCCCTAGATCTTGGGTTCAGTTTTTACTACTGACAACCCACCCAACAGCAGAAAGAGTCACACCAGGAGAGTCTCAGGCTTGCCAGTAATAAACCCTAGCACATAGAGCAAGACAGGAGGATCTGGTCTGTCACTCTGAAGGAGACTAACGGTGATGACCGGGGGGATGGGAATGATTGCCAGCTATGCTCCCAAGCACAGGGAGAAGAGATCAGTTCCTTCAGAGGAAGAAAAGGTACAAAAGACAGTCAACGGAGTGGACAGATCTTGAGGAGGATGGGTGTGGGAATGGTCAACTGGAAGGATGGCTTGCTGTACAATTGAAGGTCAGCTCCAAGGCTGAGATGGATCAGAGGGTTTGGTGGTTCACAAATTCAAAATGAGTCAGCACTGTGATACAGTCACAAAAATAGCCAATGACATTTTCAGTCACCTTAACAGAAGTACTGCATGTCAGACACAAGACGCGACAGTGCCATTCTAGTTGGCACTAGCTAGATCTCAGTTGCAGTATTGTGAGCAGTTCTGAGTTCTGCATAAGAAGAAGGATGCACAGGTGAGTGACATAGATAATAAAGGGGTGGAATGCAAACCACACAAGGAAGGGCCGGGAGAACCAAGTGTGTTTGTTTTGGTAAAAAGGAGATTAAAGGATGACGTGGCAATTTTCAAATATTTGAAAGACTGCCATAAAAAAAAAAAGAGGGTTTTTAAGAAGAGAATGGACAAGCATCTGGCTGTGATGGCTTAGAAATAGCACATCCTGCATTTGTGCAGTGGGGTTGGACCACAGGACCCTCCTAGTTTATTCCACCCCCATGCCTGTTTGAAAGCCGTTAGTACAGAGGATGGGGAGGTGGGGAAGAAACACAGACTTACTTTTAAGCTTGTTTCGGACACTGTTGGCCCTTTTCTTGATCTCTGTCGTGAGCTGCTCCAGGTCATCTTTTGTCTCTGCAGAAATGCAAGCAGAAGAACCCAGTCAGCACAGGGTAAGGGTGCTGGCTGGTAATGCCACCAGAAGAATGTCTTCTGAGACTCCAGGGACAGAGCCCAGCCCCAGCAGGAACAGCCCAGCCCAGCTGGGTAACTCATTTACTCCAGAGTTTCTGGTCAGGCTCAGAAGCAAGGGATGAGCTGGGGCTCTCAAGCACTCACTTTGTTCAGGGATGGGGGCCGACAGGATGATGCTGTAGAGCTTTTTTGCCTCCTCCACATTCTCTGCGATTTTGTCAATGTTTTGTCGGGTTTCTTCAATCTAAACAACAAGGAAAGATTTTATGGATTATGGCATATTCTGCTAGCACCTACAGAGACCAGGACCCTATTGACTGCTCGGGCCTGCACAGATTCATCCTGAAACAGTCCCTGCCTTGAACACCTTACAAGCTAAACCGGCAGTGGGTGGGAGGGAAGGAGGGGAAATTAAGCATCTTATCCAAGGTCCCCCTAAGCCTGGTGATCCATTGGGGCTAAAGATGTTAAAGCACAATGTTTTCTCTAGCCAGCAGCACACACAAGCATGACATGACAAGCATTGTGTCTAACCACCTGTAACACCTCAGCCCACATGACCAGGTACCCATTCACAGCAAAGTTGACTGAAACTTGAATTCAGCCCAAATCTAGTAGCAAGACACCTCAGCTGTGCCAACACATCCTTCCGTACCACATACAGTAGACTGCATATGACCCCACCAGCAGACAAGACTTCCTGCCCCTGAGAACTTCCCTGAGGACTTCCAGGCTGGTGAACTGCAAAGGCAGTTCACCAGCCTGCCTCACTTCTTCCTTTAGAGAGAAAGCCATCACTGAGATGTGCACAGCACTGAACATCAATGAGGAAGAGACAGGTTATAGGGAGGCATCCCCATTGCACAGACCCCTCCTCACCTCTGAGAAGAACTCATCCATGAATGCCGTGTTGTCGATGGCAATTTCCAAATCATCGGTGTCATCGTCTGTATCCTGCTTCTGAAACAGAGGGTGAAAGGCCAGTCAGAGGACCAGGGGACGGCAGGGACTAGTGCTTCCAACCACCACCACCCCACATGCTAACGCTGTGGTTCTCCTTCCACATCCCTGTACAGAGGAGGAACACCTCAACATATCCCCCCACCACATGCAGAAGCCCCTTGCCTATATCAAGATTTCAGTTTCAGCCCCAACATGTGCAGAGACCTGTATCTGTGGATCCTAGGACACAATATCCTCCACCCCCTCCTCCTCCACAGCTTCAGGAAGCAAAGTGTGGAGGTGCTGAGACCCCAGGAGCAGGGTATGACAGAACCACAGGCCATGTCCTGACCTTCGCTGTGCCCCACAGAAGCATGTCAGCTACATCCATGTAAAAGGGAGAAGAAATTGGCCTTCCATGCCTAGCTGCAAGGCTGTTTGCCTTTGGACCCCCAATGGTGACACAGTTAAAGAGCTGATGGCAGACATGTGAAGGATGCAGGAACACAGGGGCCCTCAATCTGGGACCACAAATGGTAATGAATAGGGGTGACCGTAGTCTCCTCTCTGAGCTGCCAAATAAGAAGCAGGATCCCAGGATGGACAAAATCATTTCAGTGGATTACAAAACAAAGGGCCCTCCTGATCAGGGGTGAGGATCTTCCTCCTCCTTCTCCTGCTGTTGCTAACGCAGCTGATCAAGCATCAAAAGCTTTTAAGTGAAGCCAGATGCTAGAATGACCATCCTAAGGACTGCAGCCCTTGGTCTATCCCCAGAACAGGTGCTTCATAAATGCAGCCTGGAAGCTGCTCCCAGCAACATGTACTGGCAATACGCATCAAATCTGACCCAGCAGACACCCGAGTTCAACCTTCACAGCTCACCACCTTGGGCATCTGGACTGAAACAGATGACAAAGGCATCATTCAGACCAGGAGTGGTGATGACTTTTGTACTGTGGCCATCTATTCCCTAAAGGGAGGAAAACCAGCTCCTCTTGCACATGCTACCAACCATCAGAAGGTGTTGGAGAAGGTGCTGGTGTTGGAGACCAGGGTAGAAAACCCATCCCAGGAGGCCCCACCAGGCTTGAGGCCCTGGTGTCCAGACTGCTTTGCAGTCAGTATTGCTGCTGGAAGGGGAAAGTGTCTAAAGACTGAAAAGATGAGGGGGCTAAAAGTGAGTAGGGACGACAGGAGAACTGTTGGGGTAACCAAGAGGAAGACTGTTCAGAGTCTTGACACATGGTCCCTACTTTAAATATTTGGTTGGGAGAATTGGCCTACGTGAACAGGCACAAGTTGGAGTCTTAAGTTTATGCAGCATTTGCTCCCAGGCCCAACCCAGAAGCACAGCCGTACTTCACACCACCACTAACAGGACAACATCAGCTACACAAAGGACCCCCAAAGTGCAGCTCATCCTGTTCCTCCCCTTTCTGAAGCAAGCCCTGGTTAAAAGCTTGGGGGCTTGGCACAATGCCCTGGAACTCACATTCTGGCAGTTTGAGAGAGGCCAAGGAAGCATGCTCTAGGGCAAGGATTGTCCAGAGAGGCTCTGACTCTGCTTCCCTAGCTTTGTATCTCTGTGGACAGGGAGTGCCACCTGCAACAGCCTGGATTCAGATCACAGGTCTACTAAAGTCAGTGAGTTAGTTTGGGCTCAATCCCAGTCTGACTGAGAATCCAGCCCTACCACCCTGATCAGCTAGACACTTTGCATGGGTGTAAATGGCTACACAAGATGCTAGACGCTAATAAACCACAGGGACTGCTGTGCAGCAGTGCATTATGGAAGAGCCTTCCCTGCCTCTGCAAGTCTCCTTAGGTGCACACTTAGCAAAAAACAGCCTGTATGACCTCAGCTGCTGAAGTGGTACGCCAGTGCAGGACATGTCTCATTCAGACAGGACCCACAGCACACAGGGATTGAGGGAGAGGTCAAAGGCAACACTTTGAACAGCACCGAGCAGCAACGAGATGTATAGCAGGCAAGCAAAATATGCTCCACAACAACTGGTCACCATCTGTTCTGCCCAAAACTTAGCAGTAGTCTTCCAAGATGGTCTTATTGTTACAATCCCACCCAGAGGTCCCCAGAGCAGCCATGACTTTGAGGAGGCCTGCCTCTGAATGGAAATCAGCAGACTGCTCATCCGACGGAGATGGTAAAAGGTAGCAATAACTCCCCAAAGGCCCAGCGGGTGTGGATGCGGCACAGAAACGGCAGACATGCAGTCACATGCTTCAGTACAAAGGAGTAGCACTGACACCAACTAAGGGTTCAGATGATTCCCCAAAAGTAACTAGCAGGGTCTATATCTTGCATGGGCTGTGCTGGTAGCCAGCTCACTCTCATCCATGCACTAGTCTCAGCCAAGTGCAGGGATCATGATTTGAGTCTACTGAAGAAACACCCAGGTGAGTATCGTCAGCTTAGTGACAACAGAGGGAGCTGTTTGTGTGTGGACCAGTAGGAACCCTGTGAAAGGAAGCCCTTGGGGACACCCTCTGGGGTGTGTAATGAAGTCAATAGAACATGATGGCACCCAAGCCAGCTGTGGTCTGCAGATGAGTGAAGGCCCCTCCACAGCCCGTTGTATTAAAGACAGCTGACAGCTCCATGGCACTAATGTGGCTGCCTCCTCTCTGCCCTTACCAAAAGACCAGTCAGTGACAGTGGTATCGATCATCTCCTGGTCAACAAACCAACCTAAAGAACTGCAAGACCTCCAGACATAGGCATAATGGCTATAAAGAGTGCTGTGGGTCAGGACTCCAGCAAATAGGATGATGTCAGGGGAGGAAGCTTTCTGAACCCTCATCACAGTCTGTTGCACTAGGGTCATGAAGGTTCCCCTTTGCCTGTCACAGCTCATATGCATAACCAATATGAACACTTCTAATATGCTTAGAAACTATTGGTCAGTGGTCCAAGACAAAGGTCTTGACCAATTCACTTGACCAGGACTTCACCAATTCACAAAATGGGCCACTGTTTGTATCAGACTACTCATTAGCAAGACCTAACTACTTCTATAGCTCTCATCACTGCAATACTAAGCCTCTCAACTGTTAGCAGATTTTACCCTCCCACACTGCCACTGAAAATCAAGTAAACTGATGTTTTACAGAATGGAAACGGAGTCTCAGAAAGAGCCTGTGATGGAGAAGCAATATCTATCCAAGTCTCCTAAGCTTCAGTTTAGTGTCCTGCACTCTATCCAGCTGTGGGTCCCTCAGCAAAGAAACAGAGCCCCTACCCTAACCAGACAGACTGTAAGAAGCTAAAGAGGGACAGAAATGCTCAGGGGGCAGGATGTGCCGAGGAAAGATTGATTGTGGAAAAACTGACAGAGGGCCACATATGTAATCCACACCAACGTAAGGTGGCAATCTGCCCATTTTCCTGTTACCTGGGCCACAGAGGCAGGCAGACAAGCCAGCCACATCTTGGCTAATGCAGCCAGGGGGCACTCAGCTCAGGCAGCAGTAGTGACAGATGTGCAACAATCCAGAAGTTCCCCGGTTCAAATACCACAACTGATGAGGCTTCTCCTACATGGGAGAGTGGCGTTATGTCTGACTTGGCTTCAAAGATAGGAGTATGAGGTGGGTAAAAACCTATCTGAAGGGTCTAATCATCAGGGAAGGAGAAAAACAATCTTTGTGGGCACAAAACAGAGACTAAGGGGATGACATGAAAGAGAGAGGACAGCTGGGCTGAATGGCAGGAAGGATTTCTGATGGGCTGCGAAACAAGTCCCCAAGGGAAATGGTGAAAGCCCTGATGCATTTAAAATTAGACTGGGCCAAGCACTCAGAAACAGAGAGAAGGGCAAAGCCCTGCATGGAAGGACAGTTAAAATATGCCAGAAAGGCTATTTTCCAGCTGTAATTTCTATAAAGGACAGCAGTTTTGGTCACTCATAACCTGGGCCTGGATTGGAGCTGGTGACCTAGGAGGAAGAAACTCTTCTGATCCCCACAGCCATCGGCTCCCTGCAGTGGCCGAGAGGTTTAAAGCAAACCCAGCACCACTACTGCAGGGATCAAAAGCAGGGTAAGCTGGAGAGGCCAGAGCAAGGAGACAGGGAGCGAGTTTCCCCAGCCCAGAGGAGGAGCCCTTTGAAGATCTGTCCAAGAACAGAGATGGCAGGGAGAGTCTGTTCAGACACACCACAGTCTGGGAGGGGGGTGTCAGAGGTTAACTCAGATGAAAGGTCACTCAGCCATCTGCATTCATGAGGAGCCAAGCTAATCTTACATCTGGTCCTGCCCCCCCATCCCCCATGTGCACACAGAGCCAAGGTATTAACAGATTGCAGCCCTGGAGGGGTGGAGCATCCCTGCTCTTGTGTGCAAGGTGTCCACACAGGCAAACCAGTCCCACCCCAGCTCAAGACAGACAGCAGTTCCCCTGAACAACACCCCCATGCCCAGACACATGGCTGTTCCCTCCCCCTCAAATCCCAAAGGGACAGCTACTCCCCTAAAACACACAGAGAGACTCTCCATGTACCCTGCACAAACCCTTGCCATCAGGTTTTTCCAGTCTCCCCCACCCCATCCCCTGGTGTTTAAAGGGCAAGAGAATTTCTGGTCTCAGTTCCAAGCTTTAACTTTTACCCCAACTCCATTCCTCATGCCAGACTCTTGGTTTAAAGTGGTGGGTAAATACCAAGGCACACAAACACACGCCCCCCCCACAGCTGCTGCCCGAGGAAAGCCAGGACAGATGGCTGGCTTCCCTGTCTAATTGCATTACACCCTTCCCAAAGCCCTCTGCAGAGGCAAAGGAGGAGGGGAGGAGGGGGGAAAAATAGCTCCAGCTTTTAGCCTGACACCTTCTTAACAGGAACAGGGAGAGCAGGAGGCAGAGATGACAGGTGGAAGGAGAAGGCAGAGAGGGACAAGTACCCCAGTGTGGGGAAGATTTGCTATGGCCAAGATCATTTTGAAATGTCCTCTCTTCTTATGGAGGGGAGGGATCAGGAGAGGGACAGTCCATATGGAAG